TGCAGTGAAACTAATGAGTAGCCATACAATGACCACAGGGTTCACTAACACAATCACAATGAAAAGCTACTGTAATATTCACAGATGTATGCTGTACCCTCAGTATGTGTGTGTGTGCCGCAAACTACCTTACCCAGACAACCCAGCAGTGATGTGACGCATGTATGAAAGGTGCTCCAGTGTGCGTCTCATTTACACTGTGATTTAACCAACCTGAGCGACAGTGAGGACTACAGCTACAACAGCTCGACTGTGTTCTAGAAAACGTCCGACTCGACACACATGTAAGTTTTACTGTAACACAGGAACAGCCAGTTTGCACCTGCTCTGCTCAGTAAACAGATACGGCACAGGTACAAGGACAATCATTAGAGCTCAAACAACCATTTAAAACAAAAAAAAGGTTTGCGTTGGTTAGGACAGCATGATTTATTTATTTTTTTACAGTACATGAAGAGGAATCAGTTCTCACCTTGTCTAGGAAGCAGAGCTTGTCCTTGGTCTTGGCATCCAGTATCTCCACCTCAAAGAAAACAACAGCCTTTTTAGCTTTTTTAGCAGGTTTGCGTTTGACCGTGGCTGGAACTGGCAGCGGGGCAGTCAACGCCCCCTTAAGCGCTTTTCTACCACCAGCAGCCTCTAGTGCTAGGGCATCCATGTCCACAGTCCTCCACCTGCAATCTGTTAATGCCCCTCAGTTCTCGTCAATCTCCACCTCTTGACTGTCTCAGATCAACAAGAAGCCGGACAGGAGAGGGGCAGCCCTCAGCTGTGGAAATAAATCTGCCCGTGCTCCCCTGTCCCTCCCTCTTCTCGGTCATTCTCTCACTCTCCCTCCCTCTTCGCCCCTCTGTCATTCCTTCACTTCTGTTGCACGACTTTATTTAACTGCCACGTGTGTGCACAGTTGCATAGAGAGGAATGTGCAGTGCCGCCTTGGCAGACTCTATACAGTAGGTCATTTGTGTTTATTTCATGGAGGAAACTTCTAGAGCAGAGAGTAGCATCTTAATTTCAGAGTCACAGTGATTTCACTGAAATATAACTCCCTCCTATAAAAGGATACCCAATGACCCTCACCTTCCCTATGTGGGAAGATGGAGCCAAGTTATTGTGACAAAAAATCCTCCCATCTTTAGTTTGACCCCACCCTTCCTCTCCTGTGCTAAATATAAACATCTACTGCTATCTCTTTATAACCAGCCCTCTCACTAGAGACCTCTGACCCATCTACACCTACACAGTGATATCATTGGCTCACTAGTGATTACGGTTTGTACAACTGTTCCTTGGTCCATCTACAGACCTGATGTCCATCACCGCCCTTCTACATCCAAATGGACCAGTTTAGGGTTTCTCTCACACAACATTTACAGTGTGCAGAACCTTGAAACCTAGATTAACTTTACACCTAGATCTCTCAGCCACAGATGAGTCACTACCTTGAAACCTAGATTAACTTTACAGCTAGATCTCTCAGCCACAGATGAGTCACAAAAACACTCCAGACTCTCTGAGCTTAAGTCAGGGCATTCTCCTTGGTGAAGTCCAGCCCCACCTTTCTCTCTCCACTGACAACAGTTGGGATACAGTTTCTATAATGAATGAAGGACAATTGGTCAAAAGTGACCTAGGTTTAGACTGGACATTGATTCTATTCATGGACCTGAATCAACAATCTAAAAATTTGTGGGTATCTTGTTATGTAACAGGTCACCCTCACTTCAATCAGCAGCACCCAAACATCAACTTGTGACAGGGGTCTGACACTAATTTGGGGTTGGTGTTTTTTTCGATAAACACCACTAACCAAGGTATTTTCACATTCTTTTTTTTTATCTAATTGGCAGGGCTAACCTTCCAGGGCTTTTTAAATGAATTAATTGAGCTGCTTTATTACTGTATAAAGACATGTTCATGTATGTTTGAAACAAGCCGGACACAAGGCACTGCAGTCAAGATGGAATAAAACCCCATCTTCTCTGCATACCCACTGCCACTGTACCTCCCCCATCTCATCTATATAAAGCCTCAGTCTGGCAGTGTGGGTCTGTCCCGGTAATACTGTATGATCTGGGGTGAGAATCAAGCAGAGGGAAATCAGCTTTAACTGCAAGAGCAGACTTCAACCGTTTATTGTTTCCCCTCACTGGTTTCGCCTGTATAAAGGTAAGACTCCATTTTTGAAATCTAGAAGAATGGTATATTTAGACTTATTTACTTATTATACACACTTCCCGACAGGGACTGGTAATCAGTGTGGGAATAAGACAGATCACTGTGAAAGTGATGCAGCCCTCTGGTGCTATCTGGTGTGAATGTGATGAAACTAGGAATAAACCAATCTAATGACCCAAAAGGAAAACACTGATGTTTCAGCTTAAGATAATCTGAACAATTTAACTATTAAGTACTTTTTAAATTATATTTTTCTCTTCAGCTTGTGACCTGTGAAGGGTGCAATTTAGAAAACATAAATAATGATAGCCTTTATGATCAAATCTATTAGTTTACTCTCAGGTTTTAACTTGATTTGGTGAAAAGAATGCATAAAAAAGCAATAAGGATCTGTTTGCAACTGTGACAGCATTTACTTTTAACATATGCATTGTTTATGGTGAGAGTCATAGTCCACACCGAGCAGTGATCACAGTTTTATGACTTCAATCAGCATGACTATTGTGGCTAATGCTGCATCAGTGCCTATTTGTTGGCTAATCATTAATATTCTCTAACCACATACACGAAAACCTTTGCACCCACATAATTGCATTCTAGTGTTACACCATACTATTCAGTGACCTAATTAATCTAGGGATACTGCAAAGTTTTGCAGTAGCTCTGCATTTTGATAACTGCTACCATAAATTATAACCTCAGTGTTTTGTGAGGGCTGCAAATTTTGACAGCTGGAATAGCAGGAATAAAACTGTGACCAGTTGTGTTTTCCTGTCTGTAAAGTATATACCTCACCTGCCAACCTATCAGTTTTCCTTTGGCCTTCACAGAAATTGCACATTTCAGTGTAGATTTCACAGAAACAACAAAAAACGGTGCATGCTACTAGTTTGCAAATGCTGCCAAGGGTATGGCCATGGTCCATAGAGTTCAGGAGGTGATGACTGAGGAAGGCCATGAAAAGGCAAGTCAAAGAGACTGATTAGAGGTCACAGGAGTGGCCTATGAATGCCACATTGGCCAACACAAGTGCAAACACTTACTGGCATAGAGTGAGGGAGGATCTGATCAAAGCTTCAATTGTGTGTTATATTTGCTATGAAAGCATATTTGATATATTTATTCTAATCAATTGTATTGTTAAACTTGCGAGAAATGTAATCAGTGCAGTTGCCTTTTGTGAAAACTTGCTTAAATGTAGTTTCACCCATCACAGATTGCAAAAGCAACATGTGCTGACAGAAAGAGGAGGAACCGGAGGAGCTACTGGTTGGGTCAGTTTCTAGCAGACTGATTCAAATCCTGTGTGATGTGTTTAGGTGCTCTTCTAACGCTAACTGTTCATGTTTAAAGAAGCTTTCCGTGCTAGCGGGAGTACAACACACCCTTTCATAAATATCCAAGCCCAGGTAGCCACAAACATAAAATAAATCACACCCAGGCCATGGGAGTTAATTTAACAGAACTGAGACCTGAGATTGCGCACTTGACTGTTCACCTGCATTTTGGGGTAATAAAATAAGAAGCTCCACGAGGCTTTCGAGCCAAAGATGGCGATGATACCGAGCATTATCCTATACTAATGGGTCCGTCTTTAGTTTAACACAGACGTAACGCTTATATTGGGAATTTAGCACATACATAACGGACGTATTTCCTCATGGTGTGACTGTGGGTTCAATTTGACCCTCAGCATAATGCTGTCCAATACAATCGTTAATTACCACCCACAGCGAGCTACAATACACCGTTCATAGCAAATAACGTTAGCTCATGACAGGTGAGATATACACTCCTCATTACTCATGTTTGAAGGTTTAAATTTAATGCTTCTGGCAGAGTTTACGCTTAGAATAATTACAGGAAGTTTCCTAATTGGTCTGGTTAATTAAATTTTGACCTCCTTAAATGCCCCATTTACGATTTTGTGTTTCGAAGACTACCCACCTCGTAGTGCTTCATCTTGCCAGCTAGCACCTTTCTATCCTCGATATCACAGGTGAGTAATACAATGGTAACAGAGTAGCCTTCTTCGGATTCCACTTCTTCTTCGGGGGCTTAATTGCGGTTTACATGCCCGTTTAAGGTGCATTACTGCCACCTACTGTACTGGAGTGTGGACCAATAGAGCAGCCTCCAATCGAATCAGAAGAGTAATATTCTGAGAAAACAGTGGGCGTGTACTACTGGTCATACCGCAGCCAATAAAAACCATCCGCAGTCATCGTAGCCAATGACATTTCAGTAAACAAGAGACCTATAACTATCATGATGTATTTATGGAGTTATATAACAGCCCTGTCCTTTTCATTGACTTTTGGGGGGGAATTTTGGAATTTGAACTTTTCAATACAGCATTATAAACATGGATTGTATATAATTTCATCTTTAAATATTTGCTCTAAGTATGCACTTTTTTGTTTACAGTGTTTTGTCCTTGTATAAGAACATTGTTGTATTCATAAAATGTGATTGTTCTTGACTGATTAGAAAGAAAGAAATAAAGAAAGCTGTCCCTGGTAGGCTAATGGTTATTTTCTTGACTGATTATTATCTCAGATTAAAGGCATGTTTAATTCTACAGAGAAACTGGCTATGAATCAACTGGATTAGGTAAAAACAACCAATAATTTTTTATTTTATTTTATTTTACAAAAGCAAAACAACAAAACCCACATCAAAAATCACACAAATCAACAAAGAAATCAAATTTAAAGCTATAAAAGCTCATACCTCCCATAATGAATACACAATAGTGATGTATTTTCATTCCCATTGTATTAGAGCAGGCCTTAGTATAAAAGAGCCAAAGATCAACATTGATGTCCAAATACTTTAAATACACAAGCCTTTGTGCGTATATCCACAAACATCTCTAAAACAGATTTTGCCTCACTTGATAGAGGCAAGCCTCTCATTCAAATGGCTACTCACTAATAATTACATTTTTATTTACAGGATTATTTCATTCTTGAATTGAAATTTCCTAAATAAATTGAAAATACACTTTAGGCTAAATCTCTAGAAATAGGCCTACATGCAGGATAGGCAAAGAAAGCCTACTGAGGTCATTGTCTTGTGTCCACATATTTGACCATGCTTGTATAGGCTAATATAACATTTAGTGCCCGTGGCATGGTTTTCTGTTTTCTGACTTATCTACAATATTACAACTATGAATTATCATCTTAAATGTGTGAGCTGAACCTATGTTGTTGTACTTCTATGGACAAGAAACTCAGTTTACACAAGTCTTGCGAACTCTCACTGGTGAGACTTTTTCCAACTATGTAAAGTCTTACATAGAATTTCCTTTAATGGACATATACTCCAGGCAGTGCACGCTCATGCGAGCTTGCCTGACATCCACGGGTGTCGTCTTAAAAGTGGGATTTTTTGACTGCACACAGTTTTGTGGTTATATTTTACCTCCTGCTGCTGCACTGTGACCAGAAGATGTTGGGAAAAATACAGGTCCAATATAGTGAGCCACTATATTTTGATGGATGGAAACTGACCTGCCTTGACAGATGTTTGCACTCTCTGTGTGTCTCTGTCTAGTTTGATAATATGCCACTACCTAAGTTCAGTGATTAATTTAGCATTTTATTATCAGTGTTAACTGATCATATCTTTGATAGACCCAGGCTATATGAGAAACATGCACATTCAATTAGTAATGCTACTTTCAAGTGCTACTCATACACATTCCTCCTGTAGTTAAAAAGTCATGCAACTTTTTTGCACACATTAGCTCAGCTCAGTCATACAGTACAGTGAGCGGTTGTGCTACACCATGTGCACAAGACTGATAAGATAGTGTGAGTGAATATATCCGACAGTACTCGAAGGCAGCATGGCGTACTGTCCCGGTAGGCGTGTCTCTACGTAACCGTGACAATTGAGACTGTTCGGGCTGGTTATGGAAGAGTCTGGAAGTTTCCACACGGTTTATAAAGAAAACGCACGGAGCACTAAGGACTGAGTTCAGTTAGAGGAGGGGCGGAAGAAGTTCCTCAGCAGCCTTTTAAAAAGTTTTAACATTTAGTAAGGAGACCGTTGGATTGTCAAAATGGGTAAGGACTACTATGAAATTCTGGGAATTAAGAAAGGAGCGTCGGAGGAAGACATAAAGAAAGCTTATCGTAAACAGGCTTTGCGCTATCATCCCGACAAAAACAAGTCACCGGGAGCCGAGGAGAAGTTTAAAGAAATCGCTGAAGCTTATGACGTTTTGAGCGACCCAAAGAAAAAGGACATTTACGATCGCTACGGAGAAGAAGGTAAGATTCATGAATCTTTAAGTAGTGTAATTACTATAACAATTCTGAAAATGAAGCGAACTATAGAACATTTTAAGCCCTGTGTTAATTAATGTATGGATGTCAGCTAATGGCTCGGGTTAAATATAACCGCACCAAACTAGTATGAAACAAAACACGCGTTAATGTTGTCCTGGGTGTCATGGCGCGCCCATCTCCCCTCTACTCTGTCCTTCAGTCAGGCCTCGTTTCTGTGAAAAGGCGAAGATGTGTAAGCAGGAAAAGTCAGATTAACAATAAATGCTTCAGCTACTACTCAGATACGACATAAAACGAGTATTTCAAACTAAACTCAAGATCGGGAACGGCGCTGGAAGTTTCTGACTTTACGCGGGGAGGGGCAAGGATTAGCGTAACGTGACGCTTCGTTTATGGTTTTTGCGTTTAATCGAAGTAGAGCCTACGCCGTAGACTACGCGAATGGACTACGCCATTGTGAGCACAAAGAATCGAAATCTTATTGTGACACACAAGCTTGATATATGGTTCTGCATTAAATCTACACAGAACCTGCTGTTACACGTTGTGAGCATTTATACTTGTGCGATGGCGTGTATTGCTATATAATTACACTGCCACTGGGACACATGAATGAGGAAACGCGATGCAACCAATCACAGTTGTTGTTGTTGTCTGCGTCAGTGCGATGTGCAGTTGCATGTCTGGAGAGGTGCACATCAGGCTGCTTCAGTTGGTTCTATAGTTGTACAGACCATCTCCTAAGTGCATTAATTTATAGATAGCAACACACAGGGACCTTTTTGGTGTTTGTCGATGAATTTGCAGAGCACCTTACAGTAAATCTGTTGCTTGTGTTGTTGAATGTAATATTTGCTGTTGACCTTGCTGCTTAGCTGTTAACTGTTTTTATCATAATGCTATGTGATACTTCAACCTTTTGTTTATTAAAAAAAAGAGAATGAGTGTGTTTAAAAAATATTACCCAATCTTTTCTCTCATCCAGGTCTGAAAGGCGGAGGCCCCTCTGGTGGTGGTGGTCCTGGTACCTTCAGCTACACCTTCCAGGGTGACCCTCATGCCATCTTTGCAGAGTTCTTCGGTGGACGTAACCCATTTGAACAGTTCTTTGGTGCCCGCAACGGGGGAATGGATGAGAACATGGACACTGATGATCCTTTTGCCCGTTTTGGAATGGGCGGTGGTGGAATGGGCGGTGGTGGAATGGGCGGCGGTGGAATGGGCGGGTTCCCCCACTCCTTCAGTTCCGGTATGGGTGGTCACTCTAGTGTTGTAAAGAAGCACCAGGACCCTCCTATAGTTCACAATCTCCGAGTAAGCTTAGAGGAAGTGCTGACAGGTTGCACAAAGAAAATGAAGATCTCTCGGAAAAGGCTGAACCCTGATGGGCGAACAGTACGGACAGAAGACAAAATCCTGGAGGTGCAGATAAAGAAGGGGTGGAAAGAGGGCACCAAAATTACATTTCCTAAAGAGGGGGACGAGACTCCCACAAACGTTCCAGCTGATGTCGTCTTTGTGCTGAAAGACAAACCACATCCTGTTTTCAAACGCGATGGCTCCGACATTGTTTACACAGCCAAGATCTCACTCAGAGATGTAAGTTAAGATGACATCACTTTGAATTTAGTGCCTTGCTGCTCTAAAAACTACCTTGTTTATACGTTTATGCTTGTAAAAAAAAGATCTGTAATCACCATATGCTCATTGAGCTTCCTGACATTACTTTAACATGATCTTAATGTTAATCTTCTTCCTTTTCTTTTCCTTTCTGTCCCATCAGGCTTTGTGTGGATGCACAACCAACGCCCCCACACTGGATGGTAGAACAGTGACAGTGTCATCAACAGACATCGTGCATCCAGGGATGAAGCGGAGAGTTAGTGGTGAAGGACTGCCTTATCCCAAAAGACCTGATCGTCGAGGTGACTTGATAGTGGAGTTTGAAGTCAAGTTCCCAGAAAGGCTCAGTCAGAATGCCCGAGACACCATTGCTCAGGTCCTCCCACGATCCTAAACAAGACAGATGGACTTTCAGGAATTTGACACTAGGCTGCCAACAGTTTTTATTTTTATTTTTTATTTGTTTCTCTCAGTCACCACATCGATGTTCATGTGGAGGTTAAAATTTGACCAGACAATAAAGGACAGACAGACTCTTGGGTCAGAGCCCTATGTGTTCCTGTCAGCCAAAGTGTAAATGACACCATAGGAAATGTTCATCAATCACATTTCGCAGGCTCCAATGTAAATATGGCCAATATTGTTTGGGGTGCTGAACAAGTAGGAAATATTTTTAGATATACGTGTATTATAATATAGAAAATATGTGCACTTTTTTGAGAATTGCTTTGTTCGGAATAAAGGTTCTTTTTGGAAACGTTTTGTATGACTTTGCAACAGGAAGATTTTCATTGTTTATGTAGTTCAGATGGGACACTTGTTAAATGCAGACTGATGGAGAACAGATTTACTGTCCTAGGATGGGGAGAAAAAGTTTGGTTTGAAAGATCACAGTTGATAACTTAATGAAAATCTGGTAACGGTTACAACAATGTTGGTCAGAATTGTCATCCATTGTTATTAAATGGAGAAAGAAGTGAAAACTAGTGCTTTGAACTTCAGTCGGTGTGGTCTTCAATGATAGCCCATAATCAAAATGAAGGGTTTTTAAGTGACTTTGTCAGTTTATTGCAAAGAAAGTTACATTTCTAGTGCATTTAGAAGCTCACAGTGACTCTCTGGCAAAAGGTCAGTGTAGAAGGTCTTTGCCCTCACATTTCTGCTTTTTCTCCTCATTTTCTCTATTTCTACTGCTCCACATTATGAAATGCACTTATTCACAATGGCAGACTTTTTTTTTCAGAAGTTTAACTACTGGACACACAATGTCTGCTTCCCTGACATGTACACTGGAAGTTTCATATTTCCACATCAAAGTTTATGGATGTCTTCCAAAATGGTTGTAATGTCACAAAATTGTGCTCACAAGTACATGCTTTGGAAAATGTTAATTTACTTGACTGCTGGAAGACAGATTTAAATTCTACTCGTCTGTCCATTCAGTATGTAGCTGAGCCAGCAGCTATTTTGTTTAGCTTAGCACAAAAACTGGAAATATTGTGCAGACTTTATCACAAGTTTGTAAATGTTTGGTTCTTAAGGTGAGGTGTTCTGCGTTTCCTGTTCAGGATATGTAAAACAATGTGATTGCATGTGCAAGCATCACAATAAATAAATTATATAATTAAGTAAAATATATAAAAACAAGAATGTAGGAAATACAGCAGTAATATTCTTTAGTAAAAAAATTGAAAATCAAGAAAGTGGCAGAGACATCTTTGTTTTGGGTCAGCAGGGAAGAAGACATGCGTCGTCATCGTGCTGATTATTGTGTTGGTTGTCCCTTAGGCTTCGACATGTACAGACGCATTTTGCAGCTACTATGGTGCTGACGCTGTTTTCAGGGAACAGGTCTAATACTGGGATTTCACATTTAATTTGTGCAAAAAGCTTTGTTCTTATGTGTCCCCAGGTGTTATAATGCATTAAAAAGGTGTTACTCTGTCTCCACCTCTCTCTGTGGACAGAGCTGACACAGCCTGTCCTCTCCAGGCCTCCAGGTCTCAATAACCAGGCTGCACTCATATCTCTGTATGATTCCAGCTTACTGTTCACCTGTGTAGGCGTGTCTTCGATGCTTCCGTGTCACAGTCAGGGACAGATATTAATAGATTTTCAGTTATAGCTGTCCTGATCATGTTTTATCATCCAATATTTATTTAAATTCAGTTTTTCCTTCATTATACACCATGTATAATTTAAGCCTACATCACATTTGGATAGTTTTAGATATGTTCAGTAGGGCAATAGTGTAGCATTAAGAAAATGTAACACTCTTGTATTCCATAGTGTTTCTACAGAGCAAACATCTGGATTTACAGGTCTTAGGCCAACTAGAAATCAAAACGCTTGGATTTACTTGCCACAAGACATCACTTACATTCCTTTCACTTCAGGATGTACAGTCGATGTTTGTGGCCTATCATTTGTTAAACCTCCTGACTCACTGACTACATGACTTGAGTTGACGATGCAGCAGTATAATTTGTATAGATTATCCCAGCGTGGATCATATTATGCGATGTGAAAGTAATCAGGGTATTTATATGTGGCTCTTATATAGAGCACAACGGTGTTAGCAAATAAACCATGGTGTCACAAAAGCAGCAGGAGTATATGAATGTGTGT